AAAGCGGTCTGTACCAGCAGACGAAGGAACACGGCGTGAAGAGCATGAACCAGAGGATGGCGAGGCCAAAGTCCACGCCGCGCGATGCATCCACACAGAACCAGGCGAGACAGCCGATCAAGTTAGCCAGCAGAGTCCCTGTGTGAACTGAGGGGCAAACACATGAACAGTTCAAGAGTCTGAACGCAGCCTTTCAGTGAGAGTGGAGCCGCATGCAGTCTGGATTTGTTGGAAGTGGACGGCTATATATTTCTTCTTTGAGGCTGGTGCTGCAGAGTGTCCAGTGTCCTGCCAGCTCCAGCTCAGGGTGGAAATAAGGAAACACAGACGCTTAATATTTCAACATGTAACACAGTGCAGGACTGAGAACAGAACACACGCAAAGGCACGTCTATAATTCATGATTACCATTCGTTCTTGGGGTCCTAACAGTGATAGAAGAGATTTGACATCACTGTGTGAGAAATGACATCAGGCTGCTGGAAGGCAGACACAGGATTTAGGAGCCGTGCTGCTGTGAGCTCATGATCTCTTCTCTACTTGTGCTTTTACTACTTTGTTTGAAACTCCTGCTTTAAGTCAGGCTCTGACGTGGGACGTACTGAAACAAAGAGTTTTAAAATCATACAAAACACGGTGCTGGAAGTCGAGTAAAAAATTGACAAACTGCGGCTCAAAAACACAGAAAATAAAACGTGATTAAAGTGATGCTCTGTGAGGAAAATAAAGACTTTAATGGAGGGCTTTGTGTGCCCTCAACATGTATCTAGTTCTGTGCCCAAACTAACCTTTAAGCGATCATCTGACCCCCTTCCCTTCAGCAGCCACATGACTGCACCACGTGCCCTCATCATGTGGCTGCTGAATGCCATTCAAAGCTGTTCACCCCCCCCTCCCCCCCGATCACACATGCTGAATGTAACTTTTAAACACTAGCAGGACTGAGCGGTGGAGCTCATAAGCAAGTGTCCAGTTGAGGTTGAATCATAAAAAATAGCTTTAGTATGGTGAAAATGTGATGCATGTAGACCTATATTTTATTATTTAAACCTTAATAAGTCTCTTTTGGAGGATTTTTATTAGAATGTAGTTTAAAGGCATTTTATTTAGACTACATCTTTTCATTCCTCTTCTTCTTTGAGTGTTATTTTGGCATTAAGTCCTTTAACGTTTGGCTGATTCAGTAAATATCACCTAGACTGGTAAGTTTGCACACCCAGAGAATAAAAGCTTCCTATTGGTACATAATACAAACTACAAGTCAATAAAAACAAGCTGATTTAAGGCTGTAACGCAGAGTTTCAACGAAGGGGGAAGTGACTTTTTTAAGGTCATTTCTTTCACCCCAATAACCCTTATATGTTGGTACTTCACAGTTATAAACAAACATGTTTCTATTCAAGCAGTATCTCAATCAATGTGTGTGTGTGTGTGTGGGGGGGGGGACTTTAATTTCTAATGTGTGACTGAAGCTGGAAGCAGAAATCCACTTTTTAGAACTTGACTGAATCATTATCCTTGTTGCAGCCAACAAAACTGGACAACAAGCCGACCTGCTGTACGGTACGAAGGGGGGTTGCAGAGCTTATCTGGGGATGCTTAACTTCCAGGAGGAAAAAGAATGCATAGTTTTATACCTGCAGGGATGGAGGCCCTGGCATAGAGTGCATGACTGTTTAGAAATGTGCATGTGTCTCCTCCGAGGTGCCACTGAGCTGACTGAACATTTCTCAAGAGATCTAGAGCATCTGGCTCATTGCTCCACCTCAGAAATATAAGCCATCTTCCTGCAGTCTCTCTCTCTCTCTCTCATCCAGACCAGCTTCTGCACCATTGTCTCTTTTTTTTACTTTTATATCTGTATGATACTACAACTTATATATTATTTAAAATGTGTTTGTTTGGGTGATAGAAAGGAGCTTTAGGTACGGGGATCGTCCCATGACGCACAATAAAAAGTGTGGCACTTGTTCAGTAAGTCTGCATCGGTGTGATGGAGGGAGGAACAACCTTCTCTCACTCCACTCTCGGAGGTTTTGGATGGCACTCAATGTGTCGAACCCTCCACTGAACACAAACGGAGAGAAAGTGTGAAGGCAGAGGGTGCAGGGAGTGGTTTGAGAAAAGGTCCTTTGCATTAGTGAACTCTTCAACACCCTTCACCACACCATGCTCACACACACACACACACACACACACACTGATGATACAGACTTCCCACGCCTCATAATCAGTGTTATTGTTGGTTGATTTCCTTGATTTTGTGATAAATTATCCGACTTTGGCGACTCCTCGCGACTTTTTGTCACGGCCCATGATCCGGGTTAAATCAAATCGCTTAACAGAGAAAACAGAAGTCAATCCTGACATCTGAGAAGCTGGAAGTAGAGAAAGTTTTGTATCTTTATCCTAAAATAACGACATCAATAATCAAGATCGCTGCAGGGTATTGCTTGAGAAGACGTCATTGCTTGAGGCGATTGCAACCTGATGAATTTTTTGCATTTTTCTGGGTTAATTCACTCCGCTCACTCCGTTGTGCTGCACCATGAAGAAAACAGAAAGGGTTACTCACACATCCAGAGGTAATACATGATCTTGACTGTCTTCTGAAACTCTACAGGGATGTCCACTGTGATGTCGTGGTAGAAGCAGGGGCCCACAGGGAGGTTCTCCGGGAGGGGAGGCCAGTTGTTTTTCCTGCCTGAAACAGCACACAGACAGTTTTATAAGTGACTGCAGAGTTTTCAAATGTGAAAGAAGAGAAGAAACATTCTCGTTGCTGCTGAGCTGCCTGTTAACACGTATTCAAAAAAAGAAATACTACTACTACATGTGCAATAACACAAGCATGATGATTTCCTGCCTAGATTCTTGAACACCCTTTAATAAACCCACCATATGCTCTGCGAGATGACTCGTTTGTGCTCGAGGATTAAAATAGAAGCTACAGAACAGCAGCCATATGTACGAGCTCTGCAGGGAAGCTAAGAGAATTCAGAAGAATAGTTTCACCATTTAGTGAAAGTACACATATTTGTTTTCTAGCCAACAGTTTGGTTCAGAAAGCAACCATCATATCGCTAAATATAAAGCTAGAGCCTGAGCTGAGCTGAGTGGCCCGTGTGCAGTCTTTGATTCAAAGATGAACTTTCCTGCAGGGACAAGAAATCGTATCTTATTGTAGAATACATCCTGCAGCATTCTCACCATGACTTCTTGCAAAAATTCACTCGAAGGCTAGCAGGAAAAAAAAAATTCCCTTAAATTGGGAGTAAAGATTTTCAGTTTGCCACACAAACAAAAAAAAAGGAAGTTTTGTGCATAGAAAAAGACTAAAAACACACACTAGAAGCTGATCCAATTACATTTTAATGAGAATTTATCACCACATGTAACGCTTCGGACCCTCACCCTTCATCAGACATGAACAAGTGAGAAGACACACCTCCTCATACCGTATATACAACCTCATAGAAGTTTTGTGCATGTAAAAAAAAAACAGTTTCAGTTGTTAATTATTTGTTGATCAATTACGCCCCCTGCAAAGTGCAGAGGTATCCCTTTGGCTGTCTAAGCACCGCTAGTTGGGAATCATGATGAACAGCTAAGCTAATTGCCCCCTACCCTCAGCTCCATGTGTGCAAAGACATTTAGGTTGTATTGTGAATTTAATTTATTTAACATCAAAGTTTGAAATGAAAATGGTATGTTATGTGCATCAGATTTATGGAGTTATCCAATGTTTCTGCAGAGGAAAATATATCTAAATCTGGACCCAACAGCAGGACAACCCTCAGCGGACCTACTAAGAAGAAAAGTAAAAAAAAAAAACGGATGAGCGATCAGAAGTTGTGTGTTGGTGTTTGATGCTGACCTCCTGAAGCGCTGAGCGACTGCATTTCTCTCTCCCGACGGTCCAGCTCTGCCGCCTTCCTTTCCAGCTCCTCCTGTCTCCTCAACAGCTCAGCGGCCCCCCGAGACTGATCCTACACACACACACACACACACACACACACACACACATCATACAAAACAGATGTCAACGCTGGATTGTGTGTGGAAGCCTGCTCATATGGAACTCTCTGTTCCAGCATTTGGGACACTTCAACAGGTGCAGCACCCCGAGCCGGAGGGGAGACATCACAACGACATGCTCCCCCCCAAAGGCTGCAGACAAAATAGAAATAATACCACAAGGAGTTATTTCCTGTGGCTGTCTGGATTTCTCTCTCTCCCTCAAACAGACAGAATACAACCCTCCTGCTGAGCCACTTTTCAGTCTCCAGACTCAGCATGAAGCCAGCAGGCATGGTAATGCGTTTTCCGCCTTTCTGTCTGAATCTCTGCTGCCGATGGATGCAGGATTAATCTGTCAGCTACACCAACAAAACACACAATAGTGGCCGCACAATGACAGCAAATAGCATCAAGCTAAAGAAAACAAGCGTCTGGTTCCAGTCAGTCATACCTGTGCCTGAGACTGCGAGTAGGCCGGAGGCTCCTCTGTGGGTTTCATGATGGCGGGTTGTGTGTTGACGGTGGGTCCTGCAGTCTTGGGTGCCATACCCGCAGGCGCCTTTGGAGAGAACACACACATACATTTATAGACGAACCCTGCCGTCGTGTCAGTTCACAAACACTCTAAAGATTTCTCACGCCACTTCTTCAGGAGGTGATCTTGCCATATTTTCCTGTCGATTCAGACAAGTAGAGAGTGATCTGATCTGCTTGGAAGATCATCGATTTGTAAATATCAAACACGTCTAGCATTTACGATCCAATATCCTGTTGTGTGGGGGAACCAGAGGACAGCCTGAGCTCGCACTCTGAAGGTGTCACATGGATTAGGAACACGAGCTGACTGAAGAGAAACGCACAACAACCGCAGCAAATCTCTTTTTTTTTTTTACTCCCGTCAAGCTTGATTTCTAACATGTACAGCCCATGATCACGCCATTTCCATGACTCTCATTTTCTCCATGAATTTGAAAAGTAGTCCAAAAACTATCACCAGTTCTTCCTAACTGTTGTCTGCCATGTTTGTGTTCTCCAACGTTGTTTTTGACCGCGAGAGATTTAACCACATTTCATTTTTGAGGGTCAGGACTTTGGCGTTTTGGTCATGTGGTTTGCGCTCCACAAAATACAGGAAACAGAAAAACTGTCATTTCCAGCATCAGTTGTCATCATGTGAGTGATCTTTCGCAATCGATCCCCGGCTCCTGCAGCCACATGTCTGACGTGTCCTTGGGCAAGACGCTTATGCTGTGTTCCATTGCAAGTCGAAAGTCATATCATTATGTGACGGTTTTTCCGACTTATGATCCGAGTTAAAAATTGACAAACAGATCTTTCTGCGTACCTGTTATTGTGTTCACGGCTATATTCCTGTATTGCTCAATTCTACCGACTCAGTCTACGTTGATTTTGCCCGAGTTTACGATTTGGAATTCCGACTTGAATGGCCGCTCCACTGCACTTTTTTCTGAGTCGGAGGTCGTTTTTTCCCCGAGTTCGGAGCACAATGGAATGCAGCGGCGG